CCAACCACCATTGCCCTCCCCACAGTCAAATGACAGAGCAATGGAAGGAGGCACAGTTTTACTTTTACAATGCAAACTGTGTGAGCAAGGTGCAGGTAGAGAGAGTAGCTATTCAGGTGGCTAGAAAGGGGTATGGATGGATGGTGGCTATTCAGGTGGGAGCTGCTGCAGCATCGCTTGGAGAAAAAATGGGGGATGGATGGAGGAGACGGGGCAGATGTGGGAGGGGCACAGCCCCTTCAGCCCCCTCAGCCCCCTCAGCTACTACAGCCAACACTACAAATACTAGGCTTGTGTCAGCTAACAGGCAATTGCTGGTCAAAAGACTTGTGCATGTCAATAGAAACGTTGTGGTTGTTGCGTTCACCTATCGGATCCATTGCATCTTGTAGTGGGTTCAAATCTACGGCCCAGATTCCATCTCTGAGAAACAGTGCTCGATGGACGGTGATCAGAGCAAGGTACAGGTTATGCACCACCCGCTTCGGGACCTTCCAAGCATGCTGGTCAAGTTCGGCACCGTTTTTCAAGCCTCTGGAGGGGAGTAACGTCTTGTTGGAGTGGGAGGAGTGGCCTCAAGGCAATAAAGCTGCTGTGAAGTTTCCTGCCAACCCGAAAGAGAGATGTTTTGGGCTTGGGATTGTGGATGAGTGCGGTGGAGCAGCAAAGAAGCGGACCCCGCCTCTTCCTCTGCGGCACACATCTGAAGCGGGAGGGAACAACAGGAGTGCTGCAAGGAGAAAAGGTTGTAAGGCAACAGGGCAGAAATCTAGTGTAGAAGCCAAACAGAGCAGAGCATGTGGGAAACTTGAAGCGAGCAGAGCGTGTGGGAAAAAGGTTGAAGAACCTCGAAGCGCCATGCAGATAGTCACACTACCGCCTGCCTGAAGGAAGCTTCCAATCGTACGCTGCCGGGCCGATATGGACTTGCTTATGGGTTTAGCCGGGTTCCTAATGGACCCTCCTACATGCACCCACTGCACCCACTGCTCCACAGACTTAATAAATTTTGCATCTCTCGCAAGCATGTCTCTCACATGTCTTGGCAGGACTAGCAGGAAGATACGTGGGAAGGATGGGAACACAGATGGCTACGAGAAAATTGGCAAGTGGAGTGGTTGTGAGGGTAGTGGCGACAGCGATGGTAAGGAAAGTGGGGTGAATGATGAGAAGATGATTGAGGAGGTCACTTGCATGAGCAGGTGCAAGGACTGGTTCGAAAGCATCGACGAGGAGAGTGGTTGTGAGGGTAGTGGCGACAGCGGTGGTAATGAAAGCGGGATGAATGGTGGAAAGATGTTAGGCGAGGTCAGTTGCACAGGCAGGTGCACAGGCTGTTGCGTTGGCAGGTGCAAGGATAGGCTTGAAAGCATCGGCGGCTGCACAGGCAGGTGCACAGGCTGTTGCATAGGCAGGTGCAAGGATAGGCTTGAAAGCATCGGCAAGGAGAGTTGGATGTGGGGTGGCGAAGTTGCGGGAAGGAAGGAAGAGTGAGAATGGAGGGGAGGGCAGGGAGGGGAGGGAGAAGACAGTTGTTGAGTTGGTGTGCATTCAGACGGTTACCTACTCGCAACAGACAATGCTTGCTAGCCTTTGGCCATGGCGAGAGCCATTCAGTCACATTTGTGGGTAGCTACGCACGCGTGCCTGCAAGGAAACACAAGTACAGGGACACCTTGCATGTGAGGAAGTGAAAAAAGACTTGAAGAATTTATGGTTCTGCTCCATGCTAGCCATGCCACAATAGAAAGACAGTGTAATTGAATCAACTGGTCCGAGACTCGGACGGAGGGTTCCTTCCAGCATTGCCCGTCTGTTATGTGCTCAGCATGTTGCTGTAAAGCTGAAGAGGAGGAGCCTTCTTCGACGGGTGTGGCAGGGCCATGCACACATCAAGCGATTGCAGTGGTGATTTTGACCTATTCAGTGCAATCCTAGATAGGTACCTACTTGGATATTTCACTATTACTATAACAATGTTACGATCGGTACGTATGCACTACTTGTCAAATGTTGTAGCCTGTAGTGAGGTTTGTCTTAGGGAGTACAGAAGTTAGGGTTTGTTATATGTACCCCAACCAACATCAATGGAAGCCCCATTCCTCATTCTGACATGGTATCAGCTAGGTTAGGATCCTGTGGGATCCCGTTCCTCCGTTCTCCGTTCGTACCTCCCGAGCCTGATCCTACCTCTCGTTCGTACCAGTTTCGTTGTTACCGCGCCTAGTACCGAGCGTCGCGCCCGTTCCCCCCCGTCGCGTCGCGCCCGTTCCCCCCGTCGCGTCGCGCCCGTTCCCCCCGTCGCGTCGCGCCCGTTCCCCCCGTCGCGTCGCGCCCGCCTGTTACCCCCCCCGTCCCGTCGCCCTGTCCCATCGCATCGCCCTGCCCTGTCCCGTCGCCCTGTCCCGTCGCGTCGCCCTACCCCGTCGCGTCGCCCTGCCCTGTCCCGTCGCCCTGCTCCGTCGCGCCGCCCTGCCCCGTCGCGTCGCCCTGTCCCGTCGCGTCGCCCTGCCCCGTCGCGTCGCTCCCGCCCTTTCCCCCGTCGCGTCGCCCTCCCTAGGCCCTGGCCCGTCGCCCTCCCTAGGCCCTGGCCCGTCGCCCTCTCTAGGCCCTGGCCCGTCGCCCTCCCTAGGCCCTGGCCCGTCGCCCTCCCTAGGCCCTGGCCCGTCGCCCTCCCTAGGCTCTGGCCCGTCGCCCTACCCTAGGCCCTGGCCCGTCGCCCTACCCTAGGCCCTGGCCCGTCGCCCTAGCCCGCTCTTCCGCTGCGACTGAGTCCTCTTCCCCCCCGGTTGTTACTCGCCTGTTCGTTCGCGTTGGTTCTCACTATGGCGACTCCGCGAGTTCTTCGTTTCGACGCCGATTGTAGACCCCTTGACTTTTCCGTCTGGCTTCTTCGCGCTCGTCGTCTGTTAGAGAGTCAGGTCCAGGGGGGCGAGACCCTCTGGTCACACGCTACTGGTGACCTCCCCGAGCCCCCCGAGCCTACAGCTTTAGGCCCTGCTCCTGACGACGCTGTTACGGCTCGCTTTGCCCGTCAGCGCGCTGACCGGACGGCTTGGACGTCGCGTGACGCTGCGGCCTGCATCGCACTCAGCAGCCTCCTCCCTGAGTCCGAGGAGGTCCACTTTACTCAGGTTCGCACCGCTGCTGCGTACCTCACTGCGATTAAGGCCCGCTACTCTACTCCCGCTACTGTCTCTCTCGGCCGTCTTTTCCTCCCGTTCCTGTTTCCTGATCTTGCCTCGTTTGAGCGCTCTGCTGACTTGATCGCTCACCTCCGCTCGCTCGACGCTAGTTACCGCGCTGCTTGCACTGAGGCACAGCTTGCACTGCTTCCTCCCCCCATGGCGATTACTGTCTATTTCATCGCCACTAGCCTCCCTGACCGCCTTGCCTCCGTTCGTGACGCGCTTCTGCTGAAGCACCCTAGTGAGCTGACTGTCGAGGTCCTTGAGTCTGCACTCAAGGACGTCGAAAGCAACCTTCGTTCGGTAGCTGCCGCCTCTGGTACTGTGTCCCCCCCACTCTTCCACGGGTGCACAGTCCCGCAGTTACCCACCTTCACTGCCTCTCTTGCCACTGCCGCTACTGACGCGACTGCGGCTGCTGTTACGACTGCGTCGCGGTCCCGCGGCAGGGGGGGCAAGAAAGGTGGTTCCGGTGGAGGTGGAGGCGGAGGTAGCGGAGGTAGTGGGGGTGCTGTTGCGACTGGCGGTGGTGGGAGTGCAGCGTCTGGAGAGACCCCTCGTGCAGCGGCTGGTGACTCCACTGCACCTGCTGGTGGCGGCGACCCTCGAGCTCGTCAGTCGCCTCCTGTACTGCCGGCCCCGCTAGGTGGAGCAGCGGCGTGGTACCAGGCTCAGCGTCAGCAGCACCTTCAGCAGCAGCAGCAGCCCCTTTCCTCCCAGCAGCCTCAGCAGCAGCAGCGTCAGCAGCTGGCTCCGGGGTCGGGGCTGCGTCAGCCCCAGCGCGGTGCTGCTTACCCTCCCTGCCCCTACCAGGTTCAGTCAGGTCCTCGTCGGGGCCACCCTTGTGGCCGCTTTCACCCCCCTGGTTAGTGCTTTGCTCAGCTCATTGACACGGTCCGGTTGACCTACGGGGTTGGCGGTCCTGCTCCTGACTAGCTTCCTCTGGTTCAGCGCTACGGCTCCGCTCTGTGGGGCATGTCTGCTGAGCAGTTAGTTGATCTGATTAGTGCTCCTCATGCTATGTATGCTGTTGTTGACTCTAGTGTTTCTGACTCTGTTTACTCTGGTGTTGTTAGCTTAGGTGCTAGTCTTGCTCAGTTCCCTGTTGCTAGTGTAGGTACTTGTGTAGACTCTAGACCAGCGACTACCTCAGAGGACGCTTCGCTGTCGTTCACACTGGACTCTGGAGCCTCCCACTGCTTCTTTCGGGACAGCACGACACTTACACCACTTCCAGCGCCTGTTTCTGTAGCGTTGGCTGATCCCACTACGGGACCAGTCACTGCACGTCACACTACCACTTTACCGTGTCCTGCTGCTCCCTCCGGGTCTCTCACTGGGTTTCACGTCCCCTCGTTCTCCCGGAACTTGGTGGGCGTGCGACCCCTCGTGAGTCAGCACGTGGGTGTGTGGTTTGAGCCTTCTGGAGAGACTGCGGTGTGTGTTGACGGAGACTCTTACCAGCCTCTTGCTACCTTTACTGCTGAGCCGGGCTCGGGTCTCTACACTCTTCACACTGGCCCGCGTGCGCCGCAGCAGCAGCCGCAGCAGCAGCAGCATCCGCAGCCGCAGCAGCAGCAGCAGCACCAGCGGCCGCACCAGCAGCCCCCCCTACTGCCACTGCCCCCGGTTCCCCCCCCCGTTCGGGTCCCCGCGTCTCACCAGGTTGCTACGTCCCCCCAGGTGTCTGTGTCGTGTCAGGTTCCTACGTCTGTTCCAGTCGCTGCGTCGTGCTCCTGCCGGTCACTTGCCCACCCCACCGTTCTGTGGCACCACCGGATGGGGCACCCGTCCCTTCCACGTCTGCGCGCTATGTCTAGTCAGCGTCTTGTCCTAGGCCTCCCACGTGTCTTGCCGTCGCTGCCGCCTTCGCTTGCGCCGCCGTGTCGTCCCTGCGTCGAGGGTAGGTTGCGCGCCACCTCTCACTCCTCCTCCCTTCGTCCGGCCACCGAGCCTTTTGAGACGCTTCACTTGGACGTCTGGGGCCCAGCCCCTCGTCTAGGCCCTGAGCGTGAGCGTTACTTTCTGGTGGTCGTTGACGACTTCTCCCGCTACACCACAGTGTTCCCTCTGGCGAAGAAGTCTGAGGTGACTTCTACGCTGATCAGGTGGTTGCTCACCACTGAGGACACTCGTGGTCGTCGTGTCAGCTGTCTCCACTCCGACCGTGGGGGTGAGTTTCGCTCCGGCATTCTCGCTGGATTCTGTCGCGAGCAGGGCATTCGTCAGTCCTGGACGCTTCCAGAGTCCCCACAGCAGAATGGGGTTGCTGAGCGCCGCATAGGCCTGGTCATGGAGATCGCCCGCACCTCCCTGACTCACGCCTGTGCCCCCCATTTTCTGTGGCCCTACGCGGTCAGGTACGCCGCGCACCAGCTGAACCTCTGGCCACGTGTCTCTCGACCAGAGGTTTCACCGACCAGTCTTTGGACAGGGTCCCCTGGTGTTGCGTCGCGGTTTCGTGTCTGGGGGTGCTTGGCTCTTGTCCGCGACACCTCCGCGGACAAGCTCTCGCCTCGTGCCGTCCCCTGTGTCTTCCTTGGTTTCCCTGAGGACTCCTCTGACTTCACCCTTTACCACCCTCCCTCTCACCGGTTCTTTGACTCCCGTGACGTCCGTTTCGAGGAGTCCACTCCGTACTACGTCAGGTACCCCAGTCGAGGTCTCCCGGTTCCTCCTCCCCCCCTCTTCCTGACTGCCGTTCCCCCTCCTGCTCCCCCGGTACAGCCTCCCCCCCCTGGTCCAGCCACGTCAGGTGTGTCCCAGGCTACCCCTCCTCCTTCGGTAGCCCCTCCGATACAGCCTCCCTCCCCACAGTCCTCCTCGCAGCGTGCCGCTGGTGCTAGCTCTCGAGAGGTTGGTGCGGCGCCTGTTCCTGTACCGGTTTCTGGTTCTGGGGGTGCTGGAGTTGGAGCTGGAGTTGGAGCTGGGGTTGGAGCTGGAGTTTCTGGTTCTGGAGTTGGAGCTGACCCGGTGGGTGCAGAGGACTCTTGTCGTCCGGGAGCTGGTGCTGGCCGCGCGGACACTGGGGGTGCTGCGTCTGGGGGTGAGGGTGCGCCTCCTTCGGGTTCAGGTGAGCCTGGGTCTGGAGCTGGTGTTAGTGCTGCCTCTGGGGGTGGTGCGCCTAGTTCTTCTGGGGTGGACTCTGGAGCTGCCGCTGCTTCGGACACTACTCTACCCCCCCACCCCTACCCGACTAGGCACCAGGCTCGTGTTCGCCGTGCCCGTGACGAGCAGCTGGCGTTGGAGAGAGAGGAGAGGGAGTTACAGCGGCTGGAGGAGCAGCAGCAGCAGCTCGAGCCGTAGGAGCAGCAGCAGCAGCAGCAGCAGCTGGACCCGCAGGAGCAGCAGTCCCAGCAGCAGCCGCGTCCGCAGCAGCAGCAGTCGCAGCCGCAGCAGCAGCAGCCACTTCCTCCTCCTGTCTCGGGTCTTCGGATCCTTGGTCTCCCCTCCCCTTCTCCTCCCTCCTCCGCCTCTCCTCCTGTCTACGGTCCCACGTTTCCTCCTCCTGACTCCTCCCCCGCTGTTTTCCCCAGTTCTCCGCCCTTGTCCTCTTCTCCTCCGTCTCGTTCTTGGGCTACTCGTCGCTCCCCTCGTGCTCGTCCCTCGTCTCCTGTTCCTTTCACTGACCTTCGTACTGCCTTCCTTCTTTCTAGTCCACCTCGTCCGTCTCAGTCTGTGCTTCCGTCTCCTCCTGAGTCGGCCCTCACTGTGTCGCTCCCTACTCCTGTCACTGACTACTACCGCATGTACCGTCCTGTTCTCTCTCGTGTTCTCGCCTCTCTTGCTACTCACCCTCGTGTCTCTGTGTCCGCTCTTACTGCCGCGGTTACTGACTTTGCCTCTACCCGCCGCCTTGACTACGCCACCACGCTTGTGACTGCTCCTCCTACCAGTCCTCCGGTCGTCGGGGGTGTGTCTGCCCTTGGCTGTGACGCCCTAGAGGACAGGCAGTTTGAGCTAGAGTTCCTGGCAGCCGCTTCCCCTCATCTCTGTGCCATGCTCCTCGCCCCTGAGGGTGACCTCGACGCCCTTGACATTCCGACTCCTCGCACTTACGCTGAGGCAGTGTCAGGGCCTTGGGCCTCTCACTGGAGAGCTGCCATGGACGCAGAGATGGCCTCCTACAGATCCACAGGCACCTACGTCGATGAGGTTCCCCCCCCTGGGGCGAACGTAGTCGACGGCATGTGGATCTACAGGGTGAAGCTGTGAAAGAGAGAACGTGAATGGAATGACTATGAAAGAAGTGAGTACAAATAGGAAACCCTAATTGGGTTGTACCCCCTATGGGATACCCCACTATAGCCTACACAATAGTATAAGCTATATAGTTCTGACACACCCCCATAGGCAAAGTGGGGGAGAACAAGGGGTCACAAGACCAGTCAAGCAAAGCAAAGCAAAGCTCAGGGTGGATCACAAAGTCACCACACATTCCGAGCACAAGTTCAAGGCCACATGGCCAGTTCACATGCAAGATCATATATAGAGATATACAAGAGTCAAGTAAGCAAGAGCAAGAGTATATATAGGCGAAGGTACAAGCAAGGTCAAGAGGAGAGCAAGTGAGGCAAGACAGGCACAAGACCCAACTGCGTGCAACAACGCTGATGATCACAAGGCGCAAGTGCCTTGGTGAAGACATCAGCAGTGTTGGCCTCAGAGGCCACGTACGCAAGTCGCAACTGTCCACGCTGCTGTAGCTCACGAGCAAGAAAGTAGCGGAGAGCAATGTGCTTCGTTCTGTGCTCCAGTCTCTGCTCTCGACACAAGGCCAGCATGGCCTTGTTGTCTACGTACAGGACTGGAGGAGAACGAGGCTGCTCTCCAAGGTCGGTCAACAGGTAGGTGAGCCAGCGTAACTCCTGTGCAGCCATAGCCCCGGCGTAGATCTCAGCCTCACAACTGGAGCCGAGAACAGAAGACGAACGGGTAGCCCGCCACGAAACAGAGCCGGAACCAAGGCTGAAGGTGTAACCCTGTGACGACCGCTGCGTAGCCTGGTCGTCAGCCCAAGAAGCGTCCGCGTGCCCAGTGAGGACCACTGGACTGCGCCCTCCAAGCACTAGCCCCATGCCCGACGAACTGCACAAGTAGCGCAACACCCTCTTCGCTGCAGCCATGTGCTCTGGTCGGTGTCTCCCAGGAGCAACATAGCGTGCGAGAATGCTAAGAGGGTATGCAAGGTCAGGTCGTGTGCAGGTCATCAGGTACATGAGGCAGCCAACAAGCTCTGCATACGGGCCACTCGACTCTACGGACTCATCCGAAGGCAGAGCTGAGAGCGAGTGGCGAGTAGGCAGAGGAGTGGCCTGAGGCGAGGAGTACGTGAAGCCGAAGCGCTGAAGGACCTGCTGCACCATGTGTGACTGAGTCAGGGTAATGGTGCGGCGTGCTCTGTCCCGGGTGATCTGCAAGCCAAGATAGCTGCGCAGTTCACCCAGGTCAGTGCACGTGTGTCTCTTCTGCAGCTCGGACTTCACGTAGGCGAGTCCAGCAGTGTCAGCTGTGGCAAAGACCAAGTCGTCGACGTACACGAGGATGTAGAACGGCGGCAGAGAGGTGTCGGTGCGCAGAAACAGCGACGGGTCGGCAGTAGAAGGAGCAAACCCAAGTGCCGCGAGCGTAGTCCTCAGTGTGTCGTGCCACTCACGTGGCGCCTGGCGGAGACCGTAGACTGGACGCCGGAGACTCCACTGGGTACCAGGAGGGAAAGACCCAGTGAAGCCAGGTGGGCGACGCAGCCAGATCTCCTCGTGCAGGCTGCCCTGCAAGAAAGCTGTGCTGAAGTCGAGAGAGTGCAGCTCGTAGTCACGGTGAGCAGCAACGTGCAGCAGGACCCGAAGAGTGGTCATCTTCGGGGTGGGGGAGAAGGTCTGAAAGTAGTCAACCCCCTGCCGCTGACTGAAGCCACGAGCCACGTAACGCGCCTTGAAGACAGGCGGAGAACCCGGCGGCCGCTTCACCCTGAAAATCCACATGCCACTGACGATGTTCGCCCCAGGGGGGGGAACAGCGTCAACGTAGGTGCCTGTGGACTTCCAGGAAGCCATCTCTGCATCCATAGCTGCCTGCCACTGAGAGGAGTAGGGACCCTCTATCGCCTCCGCGTAAGAGCGCGGAGTCGGGATGTCTGGTGCATCCGGGTCTCCCTCAGGGGCTAGCAGTACAGACGCGAGACGAGGTGAAGCGGCGGCTAGACACTGGAACTCCTCCTGCCTGTCCTCAAGGACGTCCGTGCCAAGGGCACACTCACCCCCGACGGACGGAGGACAGGCGGACTCAGACTCAGTGACAAGACGGGCAGCGTAGTCTAGACGACAGCGCGCAGCAAAGTCGACAAGCTCAGTGACAAGGGCAGACGCAGCAGACGACTCGAAGGAAGGGTCAGTGACAGCTGTAGCAAGGAGACGCGTGACAGTAGGACTGGCAGCACGAAGAGAGTCCGACTCCGGGTCGGCAAGAGCAGGAAGAGAGGAAGCAGGAGGAGAAGGCAAAGGGGCACGCAGAGGAGCAGTGGACGGACGTAGTGACATCCGGTGCATGCCAGGAACAGGAGGAGGACGCTGACGCGACCCGCGACCACTAGCGCGCTCAGTACGAACAGGCGACACAGGACGAGACGCAGGCTCACGACGCTCAGTAAGACCTCCAGTCGGACCAGTGTAGGGAGACGGAGCAGGCAAAGGGGAGGCAGGCTGTAGCTGTGGCTGTGACCGGACAGGCTGCGGACCCTCTAAGGGAGGAGGAGGAGGAGGCGGAAGACCAAGAACCTGCTGCAGGAGCGGAACGAAGTAAGGTCGGGGCCGCGCGGCGACACCAGAAACAGCAGGAACAGTACCAGCAGCCCCGGCAGGAGTACCCACTCCAGCAGCACCTCCAGCAGCACCACCAGAAGCTCCAGAACCTCCAGCAGCAGCACCAGGAGCACTGTCAGTCGAACCGCCAACGGCAGGCTCAGCGCCAACACCCTCAGTAGCACCAGCTCCAGGAGAACTCTCAGACCCAGCAGCTCCAGCACCCACAGTACGAGCACCGGCGGGACGCGAGGCAGCAGTACCCTCTGCAGCCGAAGAACCACCAGCACCAGCAGCACACCTCCAGCGCCTAGCAAACCACTCACGCAGCTCCTGCGGGGAGAGTGGCTCCCGGCGAGACGAAGCACCCCCAGGCACAGCACCCCCAGGCTCAGCACCCCCAGGCACAGCACCCCCAGGCTCGGCACCTCCAGGCTCAGCACCCCCAGACGCAGCACCCCCAGGCTCAGCACCCCTAGGCACAGCACCCCAAGGCTCAGCACCCCCAGGCTCAGCACCCCCAGGCTCAGCACCCCCAGGCTCAGCACCCCCAGGCTCAGCACCCCCAGGCTCAGCACCCCCAGGCTCAGCACCCCCAGGCTCAGCACCCCCAGACTCCGCACCCCCAGGCTCAGCTCCCGCAGCAGCACCAGAGTCACCAGTGACCTCGACAGGCTCGACCGCGTCTACCTGGGACACACCTGAAGGGGCAGGACCCTGAGGGGGGAGGGGGACTACCGGGGGGGGGCCTGGTACCAGGAAGAGCGGGGGTGGGGGGAGGGACGGAGTGCGGTAGGGGAAGAGGCGGTAGTAGGGTACCGACTCGTCGAACGTGACGTCCTGGGAGGACAGAACACGTCGAGAGGTGGGGTGGTAAAACTGCCACCCAGGGGCGTCGGGGGGGAACCCCAGGAAGACGCAGGGAGAAGCACGAGGGGACAGCTTGTCCGCAGACAGGTCGCGAACAAACGTCCGAGATCCCCAGACCCGGAACGCCGACGCATCGCCAACCTTCCCCGTCCACAGCAGGGCTGGGGAGGTCTCCG